CCCCCCCCCCCCCCCCCTTCAGGGAGGCAGCTTTAAAGGGGGCTTTGGTTTCCTTGAAGTGTTCCCTATCAGCGCAACGATACGGGTTGGCGGTACGGGCTCCTGTAAGGGTTGCTATCAGGCTTCAACGATTCCGGGCTCCGAGCCTAGGTTCTTTTTTTGATCGTTTCGTATCTGCGAGGTCTATAACGCCAGGAGACAGCGTGTGCTCCCTAGGAGCACTTAGTATAGGGAGTCTTGGGTTATGGGTGCGCCATCAGAGACATGAAGCTCAATGCACAAGAGATTCCCCATGTGACCCATGCTTTGCTTACTTCTGCTTCCCTTCCGGCACCGAACGCAACCGATCACAAGACTTTCAGAACTAAGTCTGTATGCTCCTATGAAAGGCGCCTCGCACTAGCGGTACCGTGGCCGAGGGCTCACACATCTCCCCAGGCCTTGCTGACAAAGCTGCCCGCAGGAAGAGAACAATAGCACCCAACTCGTCACATCAGATGAACTTCTATTTGCAACACTTGGTAGGACCAGTGGGCTGTGGAAGCTGAAAGCACTCTCCTTCTCAGAGTCTGTTGGAGGCTTGCGGAGCACCTGCCCGAGGAGCCCTCGAAGTTGCTGGCACAAGTCCTATCACTCATGCTGCAGGCGCCAGGGTTTCGAGTTTCCGCGCAAGGAGGGTTAAGTGACTTGGAGGAGGCTGAGTCGACACCATCGACGCCGGAGGTCTTCGTCTATACGGGGTTAGGAAGTTCGTGGTTGAGTGGATGTGCCCTTTTGTTCGTTGGTTCTTGGGGCAAAGCTTTGTTGAGTCGTGGTTTCCATTCGCACACAGCGACCAATCGAGTCACAGTGCCACAATATACCAGAAGGTCTGGTTGTCGTCGCCGTGCTCGTCGCGTTGCCGTCGTCGTATTAGCAGTTACTAGCAGTAGCACGGGTAGTAGCGTAGTCGCGGTAGTAGCCGTAGCAGAAGCAGCAGCAGCCATGGTCATATTAGTAGTCGTATTCGTAGTTGTAGTTCCGAGTCGGAGTCCTAGTCGTACAGGTAATGGCAGTGCCGCAGTGGTGGTGGTAGTAGTAGATTTTGGCTCTGGTCAGTTGGACCGCTCGACTCAACAGCACGACGACCCACAACAGACCTTTTAACAATCATAGCAATAACTATAACAGTAGCAGCAATACAAATGGGGGTTTCCGAAAATAGGGGACCCTAATATAGTACCCTAAATACTAGGATCCTTATTATAAGGACCCTAAGATAAGGTACCCCCTATTTTCGGAAGCTCCCAAGTAACAAACAACAATGTAGCAGTCGGTCGTCAAGGCCGAGCCGAAGGAGCGCATTACAGCGCAGGAGGCGCTGGGAAAGATGGAGCAGTCCCCCGGCTCGGGTCTCGCAGCATGAAGGGCTTGGGTTGGGGTTTAGGGTTTAGGGTTTAGGGTTTAGGGTTTAGGGTTTAGGGTTTAGGGTTTAGGGTTTAGGGATGGGGAGTAGCCCTAGGCCACCCCATCCCTGAATTCTAAACACTAAGGCGCTAAAACTCAAACTCCAAACATGAATCCGTATAAACCCCTGAACCCGTTATCAACTCCGAACTTAAAGCCCTAAGCCTTCAACTCCAAAACCACAAGACGATACACCCAAAAAAGCAGAACTCCTTCAACTCCCCAAAGCTGCTCAAACCCTAGACCCCCCGGTATAGTATAGTATATGATAGTATCTTATAGCATATTTTAGCATATTATAGTATATGATAGAATCTTATAGTATGAAGCTCTCAACCTTGTAAGCCGTAAGCCCCTGAACCCAGACCCCCAAAACCCATTTCTGAAACCTCGAACCTCAGCCCAAAAGCACCGACCAAATCCCCAACCTCAAGAATATTATGCTTTCGGATTTAGGGTTTAGGGTTATGAGGGTT